GACTGGGCTCTCCCCCGCATTCAGTCGATCGGTACCTGAGGCGGCGCGTGGCGACGCAGGAATTGGGCGGTCGTTTCGGTGTGGGTGTGTGCATTGCTGTGGCACCATGGACGGGTTTGTACTGTAGGGACTCTTAGAGGTGAGGTACCTAGGTACAGGCACTTCTTGGTGAGTGACTTTCTGGGCATGACAGCACTGTATCAGTCAAAAGACAGGGGAGCAGACAGGGGAGCAGGAGCAGACGGCGGGCCCCTGGTCGCCCCGCAGAGAGCTTTTTCAGCGATGGCCGGGGCTCGGGGCTCTGGGAGGGCGAGTTCGCAGCTTCATTGACTCGACTGGAAGGAGAAACCGGCGAGCTCTTGAACAGGCTGATGTCCCGCCTGTTCCTGCCTACCATCCCCATTCCCATTCCCATTCCCATTCCCATCCCATATCCTCATCCTTCATCCCACCATCCCGCTGACGTGCGTCTTCCAACGACAAGTCACCACCATCTTTGCTCTCCCCCCGCCTCTTCCGTAGGCCCATAAGAGAGACAGCTGTGCCGCCTCTTGCTCTCTCCCGAGACTTTTCTTCTTCTTTTTCTCTCCACGACACCCCCAAAAACGTCATCGACGTATTTCTCTCGCCCGTTGCGACAGCGACAGCAAGCGACAGCAACGACACGAGCGAAGACATCGATCAGCCAGGCTCCTGCAGCCTTCCCTCCGGTGGTGGCACCCAGATCTGCATCCCGTCGAAACCGCCAGTTGAACTCGCGCGCGCCCACTGCAGGCCGAGAGGACCCTCTGAAGCTCCTGTCGCTTGTACCGCCGCTCACGCATTACGCTATTCGGTAAAGCCACCCGGCCCAGCTTCAGCACCTCGGCATTGGCCTCGTTGCTTCTTCCCTCCTCCCGACGGCCCCTCTCTACAGACCGACCCCTCCCGTCGTGTGCGCCTCTGCCGACCTTCTTCACCATGAACTCCCTCCGTGTCGCTCTCCGCCCGTGCTCTGTTGCCGCCGCCTCTCCCGCCTCTGCATCCTCCATTCTGCGCCGCGCCGCCGTCCTCTCGTCGTCGCCCTCTTGCTCTCCCGCATCTGGCCGCACCCTGCCCCGCGCCGCCTTCTTCCAGTCCAGGACCATGGCCACCGTCAAGAAGATCAAGGTCAAGAACCCCGTCGTCGAGCTCGACGGCGACGAGATGACCCGCATCATTTGGAAGGACATCAAGGACAAGTTCATCCACCCCTACCTCGACATTGACCTCAAGTACTACGACCTCGGCCTCGAGTACCGCGACGAGACCAATGACCAGGTCACCATTGACGCCGCCAACGCCATCAAGAAGTACAGCGTCGGCGTCAAGTGCGCCACCATCACCCCCGACGAGGCCCGTGTCGAGGAGTTCAAGCTCAAGCAGATGTGGCTCTCCCCCAACGGCACCATCCGCAACGCCCTCGGCGGCACTGTCTTCCGCGAGCCCATTGTCATCCCCCGCGTGCCCCGCCTCGTGCCCGGCTGGAAGAAGCCCATCATCATCGGCCGCCACGCCTTTGGCGACCAGTACCGCGCCAAGGACCTCGTCGTCAAGGGCGAGGGCACCCTCAAGATGGTCTACACCCCCAAGGGCGGCGAGCCCGAGGAGATTGAGGTCTTCCAGTTCAAGAACGGCGGCGGCGTCGCTCAGACCCAGTACAACACGGACGAGAGCATCAGCGGCTTTGCCCACGCCTCGTTCAAGCTCGCCCTCGACAAGGAGCTGCCCCTCTACATGAGCACCAAGAACACCATCCTCAAGAAGTACGACGGCCGCTTCAAGGATATTTTCCAGGACATCTACGAGTCCACCTACAAGAAGGAATTCGAGGCCAAGAAGATCTGGTACGAGCACCGTCTCATCGACGACATGGTCGCCCAGATGATCAAGTCTTCGGGCGGCTACATCATGGCCCTCAAGAACTACGACGGTGACGTCCAGTCCGACATTGTCGCCCAGGGCTTCGGCTCCCTCGGCCTCATGACCTCGGTCCTCATCACCCCTGACGGCAAGACCTTCGAGTCCGAGGCCGCCCACGGCACCGTGACCCGCCACTACCGCGAGCACCAGAAGGGCAACGAGACCTCGACCAACCCCATCGCCTCCATCTTCGCCTGGACCCGTGGTCTCATCAAGCGTGGCCAGCTCGACGACACCCCCGAGCTCGTCGCCTTTGCCGAGAGCCTCGAGAAGGCCTGCATCGACACGGTCGACCAGGACGGCATCATGACCAAGGATCTTGCCCTCGCCTGCGGCAAGACCGGCCGTGGGGACTACGTCACCACCACTGAGTACCTGAACGCCGTCGAGAGGAGGATGAAGAGCCTCCTCAAGGAGAAGCTGTGAATGATCTTGCCCAAAGGCGGAAGCGACTGGCCTGAAATGACGGAGAGACGGATACCACTGATGAAGGACGACACCTGTGTGGCGGGCTGAGCGGCGGAGGCTTGTGGTTTTTATTTGTGCGGAGAGCGCTGCATGTACGAGAATCAGGCTGTGCAGAGCCCCTCGGAGGCCTCGCGCGCAGGCAATGCAGGCTTGCGGGCTTGCAGGCAGGGGAGGCACTTTCCCCATTTGCATCTCATGCATGTTTCTTTTGGATGGTTACAGCTACATCGCATCATGTGTGTCCTCGCGGAAGGCCTTGGACATGATCTAGACAGTCGCGTGTGGGTATGCATTTTGTATTCACAAGCCTGCGTAGACAGAAAGTCTAGGTACGAGTAGACATTTGCATCGAATTCTGCGGCCTCACTGGCACTTTATGCTACCTTTCATTCCACCCGTCGGAAAGAGGGAAACTGGCCAAGGCCGGCTCGTCAGCTTTGGTTGGCTAGAATGATACTTTGTTACACGAGGCCTCCCTCTCTCCTCTTTCCTCCTTCTCTTCGGTCGTGAGACTTCGTTAGTCGTGAGCAAACGCCCAAACACCACTGAAACCAGGGACAAGAAAAGGAAGAAGAGAAAAAAGACCAGACGGCCACCAATCCCCGCCCGTTTCCTTGCCTGTCTCCCATAGACCCCCCGCTAGTCGTGGACAAGCGAAGAGGAAATAAAATGAAAAGGACCGCGATATAGGTCAGGGTAGATGCCCGAATCGGCAAGAGTCCAGAACCCATCAAGCGGCGCGAAAGATTCAATAGCCAGTCGTCCCGGCGCGTATTGAGGCCCCTGAACACAACGAACGAACAGACCCGAACCGACCGGGTTCCGGGTCCCCGGGGGGGCCCCGCCCCCCTTGTCTTGCCAACTGTGTTAGACTGCCTGTTGCCGAAGGCAGTGCAGTCTACACCACACCACACGCACTTGATGGGAGATAGAGAGGGACCCCTCAAATCGATCGAACTCAAAACCGAAGCTCGGCCGCTGCATGACGCATCTGCGGGCGGCGGGGGGGGGGCAAGGTACATAGGGTACGACGTAATGAGGCGGCTTGGGGGGTTGTACAGCAGAGCGAGTGTGTGTGCAATGGGGATTCAAGGCAAGGGATGACGGTGGTTGGACACCTCTGATTGCGTGAGGCTGTGTTGGCCGAATAGGGGAGGTGCATCATACGGCGCTGATGAGGTGACATTGAAAGGATATACACCCAACCAAGCCCCTCCTTCAAAGTGTAAAAAAAGAAGTTCCCTAGTTTCGAGTATTCACAAGAAAAAGAGGGCACAGCCTACCTCACGACCATCCACACCCCGGCCCCCAGGCCCCCGTCGACCGCATCACCGCAGGCCCCGCGCTCTCTTCCTCTGTTCCTCGCAGCCCGCCTTACACTTGGGGCACACGTGGTCCGGGTGCTTGGCAACCTCGACGCGGATCACGCATCGGGAGCAGCGCCACCACTTCGCGTGATAGGTGCGCGACCTGAGCCACTCGTCGTCGACGGGACTGTTGCGCTTACAGACGTCCTCCTTGTGGTAGTCTCGCAGGTGATCGCGGTAGTGGTCGAGGCGCCCGAACCCCTTTGCGCTGCGCGCACACTTCTTGTGGTCACACTGCCAGGACTCGCGCGCCTTCTCGCTGACGTGTCGTTGCGTGTAGTGTCGCTGGAGGTCGGCCTGGCGTTTGAAGTGTTTGGCGTCGCAGCCGGACCACATGCAGACGTAGCCCGAGGCCGACTCGTCCCCCTCGTTGCTGTCATAGTCGGCCGTCCTGCTTTTGGATTTGTGATGAGGTATGGATGGGCTTTCGCCCGTGTGCGCATACTCTGGCCGGAGTTTCCAGTAGCCGCCGTCGTCTGTGGGATGAAATATGTAGTGCGCCCAATTTGTCGGCGAGACAACGTCATCTCCGTTTGTCAGGGATGCTCTCGGCGAGTCCCCTTGTGTCGAGGCACGACCGTGATGCCGTTGTCTCGCGGGGCCAGTGTCCTCGTCGGCCGTCTGGTGGCCAGATGAGGCAGGGCTATAGGAGGGGTTGCTGCACGCGCCAGTGTCCTGGCCGTAGCTGTCCTGGCCGTAGCTGTTCTGGCCGTAGCTGTCCTGGCCGTAGCTGTCCTGGCCGTAGCTGTCCTGGCCGTAGCTGTCCCGGCCGTAGCTGTCCTGGCCGTAGCTGTCCTGGCCGTAGCTGTCCCGGCCGTAGCTGTCCTGGCCGTAGCTGTCCTGGCCGTAGTCGTCCCGGTCGTAGTTGTCCCAACCGTAGTCTGTGTAAGAGTACACAGCACGACTGATGGATGGTGAAGGAAGGGAGTCCGGCCGGCCGTATGAGAAGCCGCTGTCGGATGGTTGTCGTGTGCGGCAGGTGGCTCTGCGTGACAGGGTAACGTCTGGGTAGGGATAGTCTGACGAGACACTGCGCTTCATGGCGTAGTGTCTTGTGTGGTCGACGTGATAGCTCAAGTTGCCCTGCAGATAGGGTGAGACTGGTGTGAGTGTAGTTGATCAAGCTGTCCGGTGTTTCGGGTTCTGATGGTCCAGTTAGTGCGGATAACGAGAGGTATGATGGAAGGACGAGGATTGTCGTGCTTTTAATAACAATCTTAAGTCAAGAGGTGGACAGGGCAAACAGCAAATCGTCGAAGGACTTACATGAACGACAACGGAGGGCGGAACCGCAGGAGCCGGAGTCGCTCAACTATGCAGTTTGGCGGATCAAATGCGGACATCCACCACAGGAACTCGAGCCGGTTGGGTCGTGTACAACAATACGCCTGCCGTGAACTTTCAAGCCTGTTGAACAAAGGCCCAATACGGGTCCTCAAGAGGGCGCCCAAGCGTACGAGGTTCAGAGAAGAGCACTTTGTGCAGTGAGGCGGACTTCAAAGAGTCTCGTTGCCTCGTCATATACCCAACGTCGATGAAGGAGGGGCATGTGGTGAGGAAGCGTTGTTCAAGTGACACTTTCCTCCCGTTGATCGGTCAATGGGAAGGGTGAACATAAAGGCAAATCGCAACAGCGGTCTGTCTGTCGTAGATATGGATCTCTATACGCCATTTGACAGGTCAGAGTGTCACAGCCGCAATCCTCAGCCAATCTGACGAGGACCAAAGTGAAAGGAACCAGGCTAAGGCTTGAGCTGGGCGGTAGATGGCGAAATTAAGGTACTGTCCTCACACTTGACATGGTTGGGCTTATGGTGGAGTGCGACTCATGCGGCCAGGCAGGGACATGGCTGACCAGGGGTTGGCCTCAGAAGCACTGGATTACCCGATGCAAGGTCTCGGAGCTGCTTCTCGGTGAAGGATTAGAAGGTTGTAGATGAGGCTTGGTTGGGCCCTAGAAGTTACCTTCTTCATGACCAGTCTCAGACACGACACATGGAGGGGATGGATGGGTCGACCTACTGGTGTGCCAGGCCAGAGGGCCAGACACCCGAGACGCACGCACTCAGACACTCTGACACGAGGGCGAAGTGTCGTAGGTGGGATTAGGCCACCCATACATGCGCTGAGCATGTACTCCTGTTCGGCAGGGCTGCCGGATAGTAGGGTCCCAGATAGGCCTAAGAATCACTAGTTGGATCGCGAATAGCTGGTCCTCGGCGCGTCCCATGGCAAAAGTGTCAGTCGGGACATGGTCTGTAGTCCAATAGGGCATGGGGCCAGTGTTGGTTCATCTTGCGCGAGCCTGGAAACGAACAGGCTGAGGCTAAGAAAACGAAGAGGACAGCCCGGAATGGAGACAACAGCACGCAGCGGTGAATGTTGGCTCAGCGGCAGTGGCTGGTAACGTACTCGCAGATATCGCGAACATGGTGTCCAAACTTGAGCCAGCCATCGACACAAGAATACATGGATGTGGGCCAAGACGGTGAGTAGGCTCCAGGCAAGGCTCATCGCTGCAGATGAAATGGCCCTTTCCAAGTGACAGCCCAGGCACCTTCTGGACCATTGGAAGAACACCAAGACCAGGGGTGGGGAGGGGGATTCGACTGTGGCCAACTGTGCTGTTACTGGTGGTCGGTGGTGCTGTTGCTCTTGTTGCTGCCTAGAGCACTGCCACCTTGGGCATAATGGGGCTGCTGCAAGCGCGCGCGAGACGACGTCGCTGCAAGTCGGGGACTCTGTGCCAAATGTAGCGGTAATCCCCAATCCAAACATGGCCATACCATCAGTTTTCTGCTTCCTTGCACCGAGTAAAGGGTCAATGCTGGGTCCGGCAGCTAGGCGATACATGGTCCAACCGGGGAGGGCCCATATCCAGGGCTGGCTCCCAAAGGGCAGGTTTGCCTCGCTCAAGGCAGGTAGGTAGGTAGCTTAGGGCACCGACAACAGCGTCGATACAACACAGCACAGCACACACGCAGAAGATTGCTGGTCAGCCGAACAGGCTGTCATCGGAAGGCCGGGGAAACGAGCGAAGGAGACGTGTTGGCATCGGTTTGGATCCGAGATCGACTGAAGGCGACTGAAGGCGACTGAAGGCGACTGAACGGAGACGAGATGGCTTGTCAACAGGCGAAGAGGATAGGTGCGTCTGTGGGCGTCCTCTTTTCTCCCCAGCAGCTTGAGCGATTGCTCGGTGTTCCGCCGTCCTAGGGGTCGGTTCGCCAAACCATGGCGGACAGTCAGGCGTAACCTTCATGCTCGAGACAAGGCGTCCAAAAGCCGTGGTAAAAACAGGGCTGTCGATGGATCGACAGGCGGACGAAGAATGCGTGGCTTCGATCGACAGCATGTGTCTATGCGATGCTACGTGTAGGATGGAGGGGGCCTGCCTTGCTATCGGATCGGGCACATGATGCTCCTCGCGTGTTCTGGTGTTGATGTGAAAGTGCTGAAAGTGCTGAAGAGGAGAGGCGGCACGAGGGGGGGTGAGGGGCGTACGAGTGAGAGTACGGAAACAACAGCCAACCTCAGTTCGCACAGGGCAAGGCAACCCCACTCAAAGGTATCCTTAGGTAAGGCGACCCAAGGTCAGTGGCCACCCCGTAGAGTCACGCAAGCTCCTGCCCATGGAGGTGCCCAGCCTCCAGAGGCAGGCGCCAGGCACACTCAAACATGACCCTTGACACCATCATTCGTAATACAATAATAAACCAAGCTCTAGTAGCCTACAACTACCTCGCTGTAGCGATCGCTGTCACGCAGGCCAAATCGGCCAGACGGCAAGCATAATTGTGCACACAGTCCTGTCAGCCAGCCTGCCGTACCAGTAATGGTCCTCGAGACGATCCCTCGTCGCCGACCACGTGTCCGAAAGCAAGAAAGGCAACGCAACGCCGATTCCCAAGGCTCTCGACCCAGAGAGATCCTTGGCCCGCGGTACCAACCTGCGTCCGTAAAACATTTTCCATGTGCTGATACTCATACATCGTCCTCGAGGAACTTGTAGGCAAACTTGAAGTCGGCCTTCCGTCGGTTCATCCTGTCACGTACGTACATGTTAGCTGCTGATCACTGTGGCGACGGGTGGCGGCACGAACCATGTGGATTCGTAGTCAAAGAAACGGTAAGTGCCCTGCTCAAACTCTTCTGTGATACTCTTCGGCTCCTCGTGTCGTTGAAACCAAGTCTGGTATTGCTTGTGGAACCTCCAGCTCTGGTCCTTCAGCGCTTTGGCTGCGAGGTACTGCTGCGGTGTTCCCTGCTTGTAGTAAAACACATAGAAAAGCGTGTCTGGCTCGATGCGTTGGTATAGCCGGGGGTCGTCCAGCAGGGCGAGGGGCTCCTGAGGAAACCCTGTTCCGGTGGCAGGGACCCGCACGTCCGGTCGATATGTTCTAGGGACCTCCGAGTCCAGCGGGTCAGGGCATGTAGCCTGGCTGGTCTGCAGCATGCGCAACGTCGCCGGCGACGACAGGCTCGCAGGCTTCTTGCGCGTCACTTCGAAGGACTCGACGAGATCCTGGAGCGAGGCAGGCAGGTGATAAATGGACTCCTCTTCGTGTTCCTCCTGGGTCGTCTTGCTGTGCGCCGTTCCGTTGGCACGCGCCGTCGTCCGAGCTTCGGCCTCCGCTTGTTCGGCAAGCTTGCGCTGCTGTCGCTTGCTTCGAACAGGCTCCACGGGTTCCACTGCCGTTGCTGCTTTGCTCGCAGCCTTGCTCTTCTCCGCCTTTGCGGGAGCAGGCGTCGCCCGTGTGGTGGCTGTAAGGGCCTCGGTCGCACTGCTCGAAGAGGCGGGTGCCGGCGCCTTGGGTTCCGTCTTCTCCACAGCAGCTGGCTGCGCTGCCGTTGTCGCTGGTGAGCTCGTCGCGCTCGCTGCGCCCGTCTTGGCTTGCACCGTCGACAGCACAACAGGTGACGGCGACATGCCTGGTGGAGGCGGCAATGGTGCGATGCCGATCTTATCGTTCGCAGCAGCCGCAGCAGCCGCAGATGCGTACTTGAGTCCCTCGGCTGGCCTTGCCGGGACGGAAGCTGGCTTCATGACTGGCCCTGAAGACGTACCATTACTAATCGTTGCCAGAGGTGTATGTAAAGTGGCTAAAGCAGGCAGTGGTGATTTCACCTGCGCACTTGGTCGTCGCGCTGATGCCGCTGCAACTTCTGCTACCTGTTTCGCCTTGGCTACAGTCACAGGCTTGACAACCTCGGGTTCTGGCGTCGCCTCTTCTGCCAGTGATGCGTTGTCTTGTGACGAACCCTTGTCCTCCTGCGGCACGCCGAACACGCCTTCTTCCTCGTCCAGGTTGAGTTCGTCGTACATTTCTTCATCTTCGATAAAGTCGTCAGTCAAGCTGTCGGTGACGTAGTAGCGGATCGTTTCCTCCAAGTCGGTCACCTGTTCGGTATCGATGCCCCCGTTCTCGAGTGAGCGCCGGATCAGCTCGAGCTTGCCTTGATGCCACTTATGTCGCTCTATGATGCGGTCAATCTCGGCGATACGATCTGCCTTGGCACCCTGACTCTTCCCCTTCTTCATCGTGGCTTGTATGGATTCGGACTCGGCCTCGAGCGTCTCGATTTGCAGTTCCAACTCGTCCACCTGGTTCCCAAGAAACTCGCCAGCTTCGGCTCTGGCTTGTTCTGCTGGATCGAGCTTCTGAGACGAAGCCAACCCTTCTTTGGAGTAGGCTTTCGTCTTCATGGCCTTTTCAACAGCTTTGAAGCGTTCCATTTGCTATTTTTTTTTTTCGTGTTAGTCAGGGGACATGGCAGCAGCACGCAGACGCCAAAAGGGGGGCCGTCTTGCTGCGCCGGTGTGGGGATGAAGGTGTCGTTGTGTGTGTGACGAACCGTCTCAATCAGCTTGCGATGCTCGAGTAAAGGACCCTTGTCCTTGATGTCGTTGCTTGCGGCCCATGTCTTGATCTGATCTCGCATCCGCTGCAGCTTCTTGATCTCGCGCTTCAGGTTGTCTTCCAACTTCTCTTTTTGGGAGAGGTTATTGGACTGTTCAATCTTCTCGTAGATGGCCTCGAATTCGGCCACGCCTTCTGCCACCTTCTTGAAGCACTTCTCCACTTCTTGCTGCAGTTTTCGTGCTGCCATGATGACTTGTGATCGCGAGATGGAAGCGGGCGTTTGTACAGGGCAGGTATGTCGTCTTCGAGGTGAAAGACTGGATGATCCCGGCTATTGGGAGTCGACGTCGGGAATGTGTTGGCGGCGCCAGGCGCTGGTTCACGTCGTCTAGTAATGCTGTCTGACCCGCACGTTGATCAGATGAGGTGGTGCGAAGAAGCGTCGTGCGTCGTCCCGCGGAGACCAGTGTTGTTGGGGTGTCAATCGTGATTGCGCAGTGTAAAGGAAGTTTGCTTCCCGGGAAGGTTGTTTCGCGAATGGTGATTGACGGAGGAAGGTGCCAGCGTGCTCAGGTACCTCCAGTAGTGCACAGTGCGTCGGAGCCGCTAAACTAGGCGGCGAGTTACAGCACGTGATCGGTTATTATGATGACTTGCAAGAATGCAGGCGCCAGCAGTGCTTCAGTTGGCTGATCATCTACACAGCGATGAAGGAGCAGTTTGAGATCATTGGGTTCATTTGTGTAAACCCTTTGTCTTGAATGCACGTCGGGCTCAAGGAGGAGTTTTCGGCATGTTCACGAGCTCAAGCGACGAGCACCCCTAAAAACTTCAGCGCACCAAGTCATTCTCTCACACGGAGTACATGCAAACAGCTCGCTCAATCGAGTCGGCACGTAGGCACTAAAGTGGGCCGTGAGTGAATGAACTGCGCGGTGTGACAGCCAAGTGACCAGACGACAGGGATGCAAAGCATGACCACCGTGAAATGTGGCATGCTGTGAGCAGTTGTTCAAGTAGGTACCGTCGACGGTCTGATTTTATAGCACGTCTTTTGATTCCTTGGGTGGTTATAGTGTGGACAGGTCCGGCACCTTAGGTTGGGCACCGGGACCTTGGACGGTCTTTCCAAGTGCCTTGTGCCCAAGGGCTTTTGCGTAGTCTTGTGGGGTGAGATACTTTGGTCGTCATCAATCAGCCTAGAGCATTTCCAGCCTTCACGGCGCCCAAGTGTTCGTGCTGTAGCATTATGGGATCCAACTTCTGAACGGCATAATCAATGGAATTGAATTAAGAATGGTATTCAGTGAGCCATCGCTGGGATATCTTCGAAGCCTAGGATTTCGTAAGTCGAGCCAAGTCCACTCCATGTAGGTACCTAGGTAGGTAGTTATCGAGCCGGTTCAGATGGAGCCCCAGTCCAATCACTTGATTTCCATGCACCACCACCATCAACGTTCAAGTACAACCAGAACAACACGTCCAGTGACATAACCAGCCTCCCTCTCTGCCAATATGAAAGGCACGTGTCCTCTTCGCTGCACCCCCAGGGCTCATTACTGACGAGCACCAGCAATCATTCAGCGGGTTTTGTCAGCGTCCGTGACAGTGGACAAGGAGGTCATATCTTCCATAGGAAAGGGAGTTTTAGTCTTTGCGGCAGTGGCTCCTGGTGACACAGAGAGAGAGGCAAAGTCCTTGGCTGCCAAAGTCCTGAAGATGAAGCTTTGGGATGACGACTCAGGCGGCAGAGTGAGGGAGCATTGCAAACTCTGATCTCGAGAGCGATCGCTAACAGGGTCGTCCGACTCCATAGTGGAAGCAGAGCGTCAAAGACATTGAAGGAGAGGTTCTCTGCGGTACGGCCACCTAGAACACGAAAAGGGCATTTACTGACTCACTGACAGTGTCACAATTCACGCTGCTGGCCAAGACGACCAAGGGATCCAAGCCAGACTTTCATGGTGCCCTGGGCGGTGACGAGGCCAGCATATTGTATCACTACTTCTTTCAGGAGGTCCAGAAAGGTTACCTTGCCGACCGAGTCAAAAATGGAAAATTCCAGGCCATGATGGAAGTGGCCTTGGTCAACGATGGGCCGGTAAGTGAACAGATCTATCCAAAGTTCAATATCCTGCCCAAACAGATGCTGAACACCATCACAGGTCACGCTTGAGCTAGCAGCGTCACCTCCACCCCCGCCTGCCAACGCGAAATCGACGTGAAGAGACTGGCGAGCGCCAACATGCTAAGACCATCTACAGAACCAAAGCATGTAAAAAGACGTTCAATAGATGACCTTCGTCGCTCGCCCTGCGGCGCAACGACCAGCCGGCCGACGCAAGGCTCTGGAGGCGAGTGTGAGACCAGCCGATGCCCCGCAGTACCAACCGCGACCCTTAGCTAGAAACTTCCAGAGCGACTGAGCTGCATGCAGGCAAACGTGAACCCCACCTCCACCTTCTCACATCGTCAGAGCTGTGTCTTTTCCATCTTTCTCCCAAGCCAACTAATTCGCGGATCCTCCTCTTCTTCGTTTCCAATTGCTTCAAGCAGCACGATCTAGAGCTTCAGAGAACTACAAAGTCGTCAAACTTGTTCCCACCCTCGCACATATCAACACCAACCGCTCCAGCTACCAATTGAAACCCCCACTACCTGCCACACCACTCTCTACGACACACAATGTCTACCGACGCTGCCCCTCCCGTTGAGGATAAGGAGAAGCGCAGTCGCGTCTTCTTCGACATATCCATTGGTGGCAAGTCTGCTGGCCGTGTGACCTTTGAACTCTATGACGATCTCGTCCCCAAGACCGCCGAAAACTTCCGTGCCCTGTGCACCGGTGAGAAGGGCCTGGGCAAGTCTGGCAAGCCCCTCCACTACAAGGGCTCCATCTTCCACCGCATCATCAAGCAGTTCATGATCCAAGGCGGCGACTTCACCGAAGGCAACGGCACCGGCGGCGAGTCCATTTACGGCGCCAAGTTCGCCGACGAGGCCTTCCCCAAGACTCACGACCGCCCCTTCCTGCTATCCATGGCCAACGCTGGTCCCGGTATGTTGATCCCAGCGTCCCAATGGAGCTCTCACACCGCCGCACGAAGAGTTGAACCGAGCTAACCTCTCGTGATGCCTCCCTCAGACACCAACGGCAGCCAGTTCTTCATCACCACCGTTCCCACACCCCACCTTGACAACAAACACGTCGTCTTTGGCGAGGTCCTCAACGGCAAGTCGATCGTCAGACAGCTCGAGAACCTGCCTACCCAGAACGGCGACAAGCCAGTCAAGGACGCCATCATCGCCGACTGCGGCGTCCTTACGGGCGACGCCGCGCTCGCCGCCGACGCCAAGGCCCCCGACGCCATGGGCGACGTCTACGAGGACTTCCCCGAGGACTGCGCTACGCCCCCCGAGGCCGCCGAGGTCCTCGCCATCGCCACGGCCTGCAAGGACTACGGCAACCGCGCCTTCAAGGCCGGCGATCCCGCCCTCGGCCTCGAAAAGTACCAAAAGGGCATCCGCTACCTGAACGAGGAGCCCGACCTCGAGGCTCTCCCCGAGGCCGACCGCCCCGCCTTCCAGGCCCAGCTCGACGCTCTGCGCTTCGCCCTCAACAACAACTCGGCCCTCCTCGCGCTCAAGCTCGAGACCTTTGACGACGCCCACCGCTTTGCCGACGCGGCCCTCGCCGCCGCCGACAAGCCCGCCGCCACCGTCAAGGACGCCGACCGCGCCAAGGCCCTCTACCGCCGCGGCTTCGCCTCCGTCCGCCTCAAGGACGAGGAGGCCGCCGTCGCTGATCTCGAGGCCGCGCACAAGCTCGTCCCCGGCGATGGCCTCATTCTCAACGAGCTCAACTCGGTCAAGCAGAAGGCTGCTGCGCGCTCCGCCAAGGAGAAGGCCGCCTACAAGAAGTTCTTCGCATGAGTCAGCCTGTGAGCTGCGCGCTGGTGATCTCTCTGCGAAGCGATGCAAGACAGGATGGGGGAGCGGGGAAGCCAGCACTAGACGTTGAGGCAGAATTCTTCAGGTCGCGACGGAGGGGGGCCGGCGCTTCAGCGCTTCGGCGCTTTGCGCGCGTGCCTCGCCGGTTTCTTTCGGATTTGTTTCCTTTTTATTTTTGCTTCACGGAGTATGATTTGATGAGCGGTGGTAAGGATGACAGGCAACCCCGGAGGCCATGACTTTGGAGCGATACCGAGGAAGAATAAAAAAAAGAGAACAGCATTACACGGCAGTCCCCCCCACCCAACTAGATACCTCGATCAAACATGATCCACCCATTGACACGATACTACATCACAACGGGCTACATAGGCATCGGTGACGTGATACTGGTTTGAAATATGGAAGGGTATATATGTATATGAACTGGCCCATGAACTGGGCCCCTCCCCCCGCTATGTCGTTGAATCCTTTTGGCCTATTCCTCCCCTACTCACAAACGCCGGCCGGCTACCCCATGTCATCACCAAAGACCTCTCTCTATCCAGCCGTCATTCAAATGGCCGTGCACTAAATTGACTTTTGTGGAATACCGAGCCCTACCATGGGGTGTCGACATCTGTCCCGTCGCAGCACGTGTGGGCTTGCGTCAGGGTCAAATTCATCTCAGTTGCCGTGATGTTTCGTACGCTCCTGACTCTTCCCGGATCTAGTGGTAGGTGATGCATGTTCTGGCGAGTCGCTCCGCGCAAACGGCTTCATGATCCCGGATAGGATCGTGCGGGTTGATCTGCTACCCCCGTTACGCTTCAGAGTGCCGCCACCGCCGGAGGATATATTTGTCGCAAATGTGACTTCGGATTGGGCAGATGCATGCCTTGGAGGATTCGACATCTCTCGTCCCCGACGATGTTCTTTACTTCGTCGAGATGGTTGAGAGGCGTCGGGGGCCACGTCACTGCCTGCAGATCGAGGTGGGCGAAGGCCGGCGTCGGATCTGTAGCCGTAGCTATCCGGAGATGGCATAGCCTGAGTGGGCGTGCTGCAAGACTGGTTGATCGCATCGAGGGTGCTCTGCTCAAGAACATCGGCAAGCTCCGATACTGGGTGAGGTCCGCCCTCGATGGCCCGATATTCCTCCATCCTGGCGTGGCAGATGTCCGTGCGCCTCTGAAGATCGAGACACATGTCATTGAAGATCAAGACGTCGTCTTCTCCTCCGCCATTGGCGTGTGGTATTTTGGAGCCCAGATTAGCGAACGGGTTGACGTCTGCCCAGAGCTTGATGAGTGCAGCAAAGTTGCGGGCGTGGTCGATGACAAAGGGCAGCGCAGGGAAGCCTTCGCGTGCGTTTGGCGACAGACGGCCGAGGATTGTGATAGGGGTCGAGTAAGATGGTCCCAGAGCAACCTTGTTCCGCTCCACGGAGATGGCGCAGATGGCATCGATATATTCCCTGACCGATTGCCGCTGGGCAGTCAAAAACTTGTTCATAGGCTCCATCCACTCCTCTTTCTTGCCGAACGTCGAGAGGTTGCCCAGTGCCTGGAGAGCCTTCGCAATCAACGTGAACGTTCGTTGCGCCCGCGGCCGGGGATGGTCTCGGAGGAGCCCAAAAAGCTTTGGACTCAAGATTGCCGGACAAATGAACCGGAGGAAGAGGAAGCCAGAAACACTGGTGTAGGTGACTGTCCGTAGCCAGTCGCCATATCGGTCTTCTGCTACAGCGCGGACGTACTTGAGAATCGACCGCAGCTCCGAAGGACATTTCGTAGGCTCCTTTGCAATGCACTGCCAAACCTCGGTGGCTGCCTGTAGCAGGCGGTTCCAATTTTGGGCCAAATCTTCGCCAGGCTTCAGTTTGCTGGGATCCACCTCGCAATTCGGGTTCATCTCGTTGATTTCGCTGATTTTGGCCTGCAGTATGGTCTCAAGGTATTCTTTTCCGGATCGCCTCATGTGAAACTCAAGCGCCTGAGTGAAAAGCGTGTTGCCCCTGAAAAGCAGATTGGCCTCACCAGCGAGCGATTTGCCTGTTTCGCGCACCAGCTGCTCACGGTCGCTTGCAGACTCCAGAGACTCGTTGGACTTGAGGCGGCTGCTGAAACGGTACTTTGTCATCTGCGCTTGGCTACCAACACCGTCTATCTCGTCTTCAACTAGTGTCTGCAGCCAGTCATTCGCCTGGCCCGAGACTTGGAATATGTTGAGGAAAATCTCCGACAATTTCCGTAGCTGGCCAGGGAGGGCATGCGCAATCTGGGTGGTCAGGCCCGATGGGAAGCTATGCAGCAGGTTTGAGAGAGCCTGGTACTCATTTGAATGCAGGACCACGAGCTCTTCGTAGTGGACCTTGACCAGCATGGTCCCTACAATGTGCTGCCGCACATCGAGCACCTCGAACCAGCGCTCAAGATCCTTCCCCGAATCGATGAGATCCAAAGGTATATCGACGGCGCCGCATAGAGCTTCAGACAAGTTTCCAATCTTGGACACATTGGCCGATGGCTGAAGTTGCGGGTACAACATGTCCAGGTTGCCATCGACACGCTTCAAAATGATAGACAAGAAGGGCAGTGCTGCAGGAAGGTCGATGAACTGGTACTCTTCCCTCCAGTATGGATTTTTGGTGCCCGACTTCAGTGGGGTGCGCGCTCGAACCTCTCCATCGAGGATGACCTCTGCAAGATAGTTCCCGACGAGCGGATCGCTTTCAGTCTTGGAGTGGCGGTCGTGCGGGGGCAACTCTGGGGATCCCAGCTTCTGCTTCAACTTTGCCTCAGTGACGCGGACCGTGATGGTCTTCTCTACTCGGAAAATCTCGCCCGGCCAGTCCGCTTCCAAGTCCACAATCTCGAGAACCTGTTCAGTTCCGGGCGAGTCTAGGCGATAGATGTCGGGGAGCGCGAAGGCACGCAGCAGCACAAACCAAACTTCAAAGAGTAAGCGATTCTCGAATGCCATGTAGACCGGGCGGAAGATGGACAACTGTGTCGAAATGGTTGAGTAATGTGGGAATATGGCGATGCAATACTCCTCGTCGAGCACCGACTTATGGAGTTGCTGGATGGCGCACCGCGAAAGTTGTGACAGTTCAACCACGGCAATGACCGAGTCTCCATCATTGGTAGTGAGCCTGATCTCACCGTTCTCCTGAAGCAGGCACGATACAAGCCTCCAGGATATCGTCTGGGACCGCAGATCACGCGTCGACGGCCTCTTCACGATCGCTCGGGGTGATGTCGCCAAGCCCTTGTCCCACAGCCTGACCTGGCCGACTTTGATGAAATTGGTAGACTTGGGGGCGGCGCCATCAGATCCGCGAGATCGCAATGGCGGTCGAACCGACGTTGGTGTCGTATTGGTGCTCCCATTAGACAATTTAACCTTTGGGGGTCTGAGCTGCTGCCAACAAAGCAAGGCGGCCAACCACAAATCCCGCTCATCAGCCAGCGTTGGGTGTATCAGCAGCTCCACTGACACCTGGTTGGGTGACGTGGACAGAATCTGTAGACACCGCCGCTCAGGCTGCGCAAAGTCCATGGGCGTGATTCGGCAGCCTCGAAGGTCTTGTATGAGTGTGTTGTGGAAAGGTCCGTTACGGCCGGAGTCGAACATGAGCGACCCTTTCTCCTCGTCGATATATCCAATGCCATTCTGCCATGGTGATGAGGGGTCTGTCTGGAACTCAATTTCGCCGCGCATGCGACCGCATAGCGTCTTCATGAGAAGAAGGACCTTGTTCGCGTCATCTGTTGGGACCGGTATCGGCAGCGAGTCCACGGAAGGGACGGTTATTTGCGGCGATGTCGGTCGGGAAGACTGGCGCTTGATAAGGCGCCTGCTCGATCCCTTCTTCTCCTTTCCTGTTGTCGTGATTATTTCTGGCGGTCTTGTTTGCGATATGGAGGGGTATCCCATCGACTCGATCGGGAGGGGTGGCGGTGGTCGATTGTCGTCAAAGACAGCTTGCGAGCCAGAGGAAGAGAACGAGCCGACCCGATGGCGTCCCTCTGCAGATGACGCTGCCGCATACTGCTGTCGAAAGGCGCCATCCATGGTATGGGTACGCGGGCGGAAGCTACCGCTCGTTTGTCGCGGGGGTGGCGGGCTCGACGAGTTACTGTCGTAGGACGCGCCGAATGTGTCGTTGAACACGACGCCCTGGCGTCTGGCCATGTCTCCCGGGCGTGGAATGGAGCGCGGGGAGCTCTGAGGCGAGGTGGAGCCGAGTTGCGTTCGGGCGGGGAGAGCTGGGACGGCAGATGCGTGATCGTGGTGATTGTGGGCGTGGTGGGCGTGGGTGTGAGCGTGGGCGTTGGCATGCGCGCTTTCCTCTCGGCTCGAGAACTCGGGCGTCACTGCGCGGATGGTGTTATGGGAGGAGACGGTGGTGCGGAAAGCTGTGCGCAGGTTGCTGGTGGAGAGGCGTTCGAGGCCGCGAGACGGGGTTGGGTCACGGTGTGCGTCGAGAGGGGTGTTCTGGGGCCATTCCAGAGGCGGGGTGGGATTGTGGGTGCCTGGGTTGGTCGGGTGGAAAGGTCGTCCGTCCATGTCTGGAGGCAGAATCGTCATGCCATTGCTTGACGGCATCGGCAGGGCGCGCTGGTGGGAGGTCTCGAACAGATGGTAGTGGTCTGCAGTTCGGAAAGCCGATATTATTCCAGGTTGAAAGGTACCTCGGCCCTGTTTCGCGCGAACTGGAGCATAGTACTAGTCAGAGGACATTCGAGAGGCCGAGTTCGGCTGCGCAAAGGAAGGCTGATCGGGTTTTGGCTCGGTGCTACTTCTGTTTCCCAGAGAGCAGGTGTCGCAAAGCTGACGGCGTCGTTGCAGAGGGTGGACAGAGCCAGCAATGGCGTCGTCGAGGTTGTTGGTGAGGGCGGGCAAAGCGACGCCAGAGAGGAAGTGAGCTGTGGTGGCCTTCTGGTTTTCAAGGTTGGCTGGACGTTTCTCTATCCCCCTCTGGGCAAGGTAGGTAGGCAAGGTGTAGGATGAGAAACAGTTGCCAATGTTGTGATGAAGCCAGCCTGGGTTCCCGTAGGCAATAGACAAACAAGTAAAGCAATGCCTAGGTAGGTAGCTTGGAAGTGGTGTGGTAGGTTGCTCTCGAGTCGCTCGGACCTCGTCTTGGTCGTGCAGAGCAAGGGTGTTGGAGGGGAGGAGGGGAGGGTCGTCCCGGTCCCTAGGCCACGACCTAGGAAGATACTCGCGCGATGCTTAGCAACGCAGATGCAAAACCACCGTGCAATTAGCTAACAAGAGCGGCCTGGTGATGATAAAATGAGTCGGTCAGGACTTCAGCTCGGTCAGTGTTCCGTATGTTCGGGAAGAAATCTTCTGGCATAAGTAGACCTGGAAGAGGAGGTTGAGAGAAATGGACAGGGAGATGGATCCGGTGGCGGCGAGAGCGGTTGAGATCACGGCTGCGGAGGTACTAATGATGGCACCAACAGCGTTAGTCGCCAGTAGCGGTAGCGGTCATGGCATGGCAGCCGGGGAGGGGGCCATGGCAGCACTTCATGATCATGAGCACTAAGGTAAGGCAGCGGCAGGGTACTGCTACGTGCCCGGGATTAGGTAGGTGCGAAAACCTGCCCTGGCTGGTCACTAGAGAGGGGCAGGAGGGGGGGGCGCCTACCTAAGGCACCTCGAGATGTGTGGACGGGCGCCGGCCAGGCCACTCAAGGTCGACAGGGGCGCCTGCCCGACTGTTCGGGCGGGGGTCCCTCGGAATTTGGGGAAGGAAGGAGTAGGCAAATCAGACCAGGCAAGCAGGATGGCCGACACCACCGCAGGAACAGGAAACAATGGAAGAAAAAAAATTGGCACCTCGTCAGGTGGGATGATGTGGATGCAGGGTTACAGCCAAGACTCAGGCCCCCCTCCAAGCCTCCAAAGGTCTCCAGCCTTGGCATCAAGTCCGACAGACTGATCCGTTCCAGAAATACTTGCACTCGGCAGTCGTGCCGTTCAGTCGAACTCAACTGAACTGATACGACAAGTCGACAAAGTGACACGACACTTGCGCTGGCCGCAGCCACGACCAGCCCCAGAAACAGCTGCCAGCTCGCCGTGTTGGAAAAGCACAAGCACAAGCACAAGCACAAGCGCAAGCGCAAGCACACTTCAGCTTCGAGAAGAATGCTTTCTTCTCTTGTTCTCCAAGTCTCATCCGTCGGCTCCATCCCCGGCCCTACCCTTGTTCCCTCGGCCTCCTTACCCAGGCCTCTGGACAACTTGGCGCACCGGACCCTTCACTACCGACTCAGTGCAGGACCCCCAAATGGATGCTACAGTAGATGCCACGATGCCACCCGCCACAATACTCGGTTGAAAAAAAAAAAGATACCTCTGAACAGCATGTCGACGTCGGCTTGCCAGGGACCTATCACTCGCAGCATCAGGGATGATGACTTTCTGCACCGTGGGCCTGGTCTCAGGGGTCAGCAGTGGAGGAGGGTGGAGGCATGTACCAAGAGCCTTCAATATCCTTCGCGGACATGAACTCCGGACAACAGTACATAGCAAACCGAACGGCGATCTTTCTCTTCAATCTAGCACTTCGCCTGGACGCCTCAAAAATCCAGAACGCCGCCGCCGCCCCCTTCCTCTTTCCCGTCACCAGCATGGGGCGTGCCGCGTCAGAGGAAAAACAGCTGAGAAGAAGAAACGCTGCGCACACACACTTCGGGCTTCGTGAGGCCCACCGATCAAGTCACACACGTCAGCCCCACGTCCAAGGACCAGCAGGCCATTGTTGCTCTTCCGAGGAGCAGCTGGCAGAAAGATCCATCATCATGGATAGGTTAGATTGGAGAACCCGAAAGCCGCCATTCCATCGTCCGTCATCCGTTCCGGGGCAGGCAAGTGGCACTTTCTCTACTGATGGCTGAGCCAACTGTACCCCCCTCCCCCCCCGGCACCGGGGGCGATACCAAACCCCCTGGCCATGAGACCTCCAAAACCAGGGCTCGGGAACCGTTCAATCTTTCACTTTCAATCCCCCGGGACCCCATCACACACAGACTCTCGCCCCCGTTCCCACGGGCAAACCTCGCCAGTCATTCCCGATATCCAGCCACCAGGTCACCTCATTCCCTGACCCAGAGAACACCCAAAAGCACATACGGCGCATGCACATCAAGGGCACAGCGCTAGCAAACTAGCAAACTAGCAGCAGGCACGGCTGGGTCACACACAGCTTCCCCCCCATCCATCTGATCCTTCCCCGTCCTCCTTCGTCCCATGCATGCCGCCCCCAGCTTGCTGACGACCAAGACTCGTGTGCCTGAATGACCGCCAGGCACACGAGCCAGGAATTTGGTCTCCGATGTCTCGCCTCTCACCAGCACTGGGGACGGGGGGGCTTCACCGTCGCGTTTTGTCTCATCTGTACAGCTACCCGCCCCATTCACCGTGTGCAAGAGCTATCCGCTTTGTGGATCAGTCCCGTCCTTCGAGCCCTCCAAGTTGAGTGTCTGATCCGACGCCACTGGCAGATCTCACAGTGGGTAAGCTCCTGTCGCCTCATCTCACGATCCTCCTCGTCAAAAAGGTGGTGGGTAACGAAGCACTGCTTGAGACACTTGCTCGCTTCGCTCAGACTGCCGATCGTCTTTAGCAGCAAGCAAGATTCAGATCCACGCCCCGTTGGCGTTCGTCGAGTGAAATAGATCCAGTGTCCCCATGGCGTGAAGATGCGGCTGACGAAATCACCAATGCAAGCTGATGACCGCTTTGCGTGGTGATTTCGGAGTTGCAACCAGAGCAATTTAGCCTGTCATCAAGCGAAACCCCTTGATGCTTACCGTGTAAATCACGACAGTACTTTACAATCACCTAGTCTCGGAACGAGGGAGAAAATAATCATATGCGGAAATGAGTATTGGGGCCGTTCCGATCCTAGTTCAAGACGCCGTAGCATATACCGTACCCTCCGGCCTCCGGGGAAAACCACCGAAATTTGTGAAAGAATAAGAAGAGAAAAAATCGCAGGCCTGATCGCCACATCGGCCATAGCCTCCAATCCCTAGTCTCGCTGGGATTCCAAGTGTCTCCAGCGTCTTTGCAGCCGCGTACGCCTGTTCACAGAAATGAAGAATCAAATCAAGCCAAGGCAGGACATTGCTGCGGAGAAATGAATATTCGCCGCCGTTTGGTATCTCGTATCGAATCGTAATGTGCAACTCTCAAGCATCCCCAAGTTGCAAGGTATGTTTGTTTGTTCATAAGATAAGTCGTAGAAGGGGTTCATGGGGATAATGTGTCTTGTTGACTACAATCATCGTGAGGGTCCTTCTATCGGACTAATCGGAAGGCTGCGAGCGCCGCTCAGGTCACTGCTCGCGGTGCGCCGGAGTGCCTGCGTCATGGTTTCAACATTGAGGTCGCCGTTGCCAGCGTGCTGAGACGGGATGGGGCTGCCGACTGGCTTTCGTTTGGGCGACAATTCGAACCCTTTGATTGAGCCGGGGTTGCTAGTGGGGGGCGAAGTACCGACCTCGCCTGGCGATGACATGGGCGACAAGACAGGCGACGGCGAACGATTGGCAGAGAGGGAAGTGAGTCCGGCGATGGTGACAGAGTCCCGCGAGGCATTGGGCGCACCCGCGTGCTCGGCTTGTACCACGTCCGCAAAGGAGATGAAGCTCAGTCTGCGAACATCGGCATTGTCGAGAGGATTGTAGATTGAGGCGCCGTCTAGCTCCCGGTCCCCGGTAGATCCGAACTCTTCCGCCCAAGATGCCGCCAGCTGCTCCAGCGAGGGCTGAGTGGACTGAGGACCGCCAGTTACCGTGACCGAGGCAGGCAGGTGTTGGGCATGCGTGATGATCTCGACACTATCAGGGTCAAGGCGGGTATCGGTGATGGCTTCCGACGAAGCATCGAGAACGGGCGGAATGTGGTTCTCGGTTCGAATATGCGAGGGAATGGCAGCATTGGCGGGGGACTGCGGAAGGATCTCCATGGTATCGACGTCACGCTCAAAAATCTGCGAGCCAGCTGGAGATGCTAACCTCGGCGAGCTGGAGAGACCCCGACCAGGAGAGACTGGGGCGGCGAATGCTTGGTCGGTAGGGGCTGTAGACACCGCTGATCGAGTGGTGGTTGTGGACATGTTTGACGTTTCGCTACGTAGAGCGGGTGGGATGGTGCCAGCAGTAGCCTTCTCAGATGCGCCGAGCTGTTCCTTCTTCTTCTTGCCAAAACTGAATAATGATCTCTTCCTGGTTCCGTCGTCTTTTTGATTGGTGTCCAGCTGAGCGTCGACCCGTGGTGTTGCATCGCTTTCGTTGCCCGTCCTGCTCGTCAACCGAGGAGTCGCATTAACTTTCCCCTGTTGGTCGATGGATTGCGTCGTGTCGGTATATAGGCTCATTTTGTCAATCGGACTTTTGATCGCTCGAGTGGAAAAGGACGAAGCGGCAAGGAGGTTTCGGCCTGGTTTCGTCAGGGTCAGCTGGTTTATAAGTCAAAACTCTACAGGTGCGCCAGGGCGCCCCAGCATTGGGGTCGTCGAGCGGCTAGTGGGAGGCATGGAAAGAAAGAGAGATGGTATGGGTAGGCAGGGGTGTATCGGGCAATACAGCTAACAGCCCCATGGCGAAGCGAATAGCCGTAGGCGCATGATCGGACGAGTGCTCTGGGCGCTGGACTGAGACGCTGAGCGCATTCAAATGAAAACTTACACGAGAGCACGACGAGATGGTACGTGAGCTTGGGCGGTCGTTGTGATGGATGTGGCAGTGAGGTCTTGCAGTGAGTTGGTCTTGGCGGCAGTGGTGGTAGGGGCTCAGACCAGGTGAAGGACTTTGGGAGAGCGGGAGAGGTAGAGGCGGTCCAGTCTCGTATCCACGGGGATCTCGTTACTCTTATTGCTGAGGACGGGATGCAATGCAGGAGAAAGCGCGTGCAGAGGAGGACAGAAGGGGGCAGAAGCGCATTACCATGGCCAAAGTATCAACGCAAGGAGCCCGAGGGAAGAGGAGCGTGTGACGCAACAAGGCAGGCACTTGGGCACCTCCATACGGGTGGTGGGCACGACCGGGCCGTGACTGGTTGGAGGGAGGCAAGTTGGCCAGGATGGCCCATGGCCAGCCAAACCTGGCACCAGCACCTACAGGTGACCTCGAGCGGGGTAGCGATGCAGCGGAGCGATAAGGTACCCTTGAAGTATCGAGACCGATTCTCGTGTCGGCAACAGGGCACACAGCACTCCTCCTTCGACCATGATCAGCGCCAAGGGGGGACCAGGAAAGTGCTTGTCTGGTCACGCCTGGTCATCCGCGGCATGAACGTCCAATGTTTGACGCTTCCTGCGCCAGGCAGGCCCCACGGCCACGCCGCCGTCAGGGCGTCAGCGCGCGCGTTTTGCTGTAAGTGACCTGGCATGTCCTGTCAGGCACCTCGACCAGGTCCTCCCTTGAGCGCTTGGTGCCTTGTGCTAGCAAGCGATCTGGAGCTTGCATCTTGCTTCTGCTCCCACCTAAATTTTGACCTTCAGAGCCAGGTCTCAGGCAGACCGAGCTTTGTCTGTGATTCATGCAGACTTCTGCGCATCCCACCAGACTGTCACTGCCTTGCCTTGCCATCAATTCGGTCAGCCGGTCCGTCTAGGTTCCTCCATTGCCTCAATGCGGAACCCCTCCTCTAGAAAATAACTCGCAGGCCTGTTGAGAGGCCACATCGAAGCCGCAAGTGCCAGCCAACTTCCGTGACGCCGCAAGCATTGCAGCATCCTGGCGCAACTGGAAAGAAACGAGAAACCCACAGAAACGAGTTGGAATGCATTAAATGGCACCGGCCCTCTCTTCCTGCTGGTTATCTTCAGGGAACCCAACAGGAGACGGTCGACCCTGAATTCAAGGGTCGTCTTGGCCGGCCCTCCCGCTGCAGATCACCTCACCCTGCCAATATCGCTGCCGATGACGCAGCCTGATTGGGCTACCTTGTTTGGCCCCATCCGCATAATCAATGCCATCGCTTGCGCAAGCAGCTGCGAGTACCCAGGGCCCAGAATAGATACGGACAATCTTCACTTTTTCGAGAAGCGGTTCCCGTTGGAAACAAGCAACGGCGTCACTAGCATTTTCACGGCCTCCTTCGAGCATCGAGACACACACACACGTCGAGGGCAACGCGTCCCAGCTCCCTAGCTCAGACGATCTAATACCGACCGAGATGAAGCTCAGGACGGCGGGGTCAAGCTTTTAACGTTCAGGTGGAGGGAGCCCCACCACGGCTCGATACTACGGCTCGATGCAGGCGCCCGGACCACGGCCAGGACAGTTGGGTTTCTTTCCAGCACAGCCGCACGTGATCTACGCTTACCTAACCGAATTCGTGTGGAGCTCGAAAAACTTCAGTCGACTCCCAGTCGATCTCGAGAGCTCTCCGAAGCCACACGCGACAGCCCGTGACCGTGGACGACAATTAGGCCTACGCATCACCGCCTCAATCGGCGTGACCTTTTGTACCAATATTCATCAGGGCATTGATTCCCATTCCCGGCAGCAATCGATATTCCTCCATCGACCCGCTACCCACTCTCCCTCCAGCACTACTCTCTCCCTCATTTCAGGGGCCCACGCCGTACGACACACACCACGACGATGGAGGCACGCACCCTCGCCCGGCCAGCAGCGAGCCTGCTCACGACGACGCTCTCCCCTGCCGGTACCGTCGCCCGCCGCTCGCACCAGACCTGGTCGCGCACAAAACGCGCCCTCAACATCGCGCCCCACCCGTCCTTTGCTCCCGCCGAGGGCGGCGACACCATCATCTTCAACCCGCCGGCCGCCGAGCCATCCATCTACCACACCCCCTACAAGTTCCTCCCCAAGTCCGACCCGCGCCGCAAGCACGCCGACCTCTCCTCCCTCTTCGCCGCTCCCTCCTCCCGCGCCGCCGCCGCCGCCAAGCTGCCGCCCGCGCTCAACGTCCGCTCCCGCAACCCCCGGTACCACCTCAACAAGGACGACGTCGCCGAGATCCGTCGCCTGCGCGCCGAGGACCCCGTCCAGTGGAGCGTCAACCGCCTGGCGCAAAAGTTTGACTGCTCCGAGGTCTTCATCACCATCTGCACCCCCGCCCCGCGGGAGCACACCGAGAGGCTCGAGAGGAAGCTCGACGCCGTCAAGAACCGGTGGGGTGCCATCCGGACCAAGGCGAGGACCGAGAGGACGAAGCGGAAGGACATGCTGTTCCGCGGCGAGCTATAATGACGAGGGAATCACAGAAAGAGAGAGAGAGAGATAGCCAACAGGAAGGCGTGCCTGGTCTGGTACTCGGTGGCGGAAAAGGCTGCCCACGGCTGTTTTGTCCGAGGTTGTCAAGCTGTATCACCACTCACGGCCACTCCATAGAGGAAGGGGGAGGAATGAGAGAAAGAGAGAGGCAAGAGAAGAAAGGCCTGTAAGATAGGACGGAGCTCGAAGCGGAAGAGCCTTTGTTCCATATGTGCCTTTATGGCAATTTGTGTCAGCTATTACTACCTACTGTGGTGAGAAGGACGTCTCATCATCATGTACTCGTATTACTTTTGAACTCCGCATAGAATCAGCCAACACATTACCGTATCCAACAAACCAACCAAACTCCCTTTGAGCAACGCCACATCGGAATGCTTCAAAACTAGGAAGCGAAGTCTCTGGCTCGTGTTTTGCCCGGCGCCGGGGGAGCAGCGGCGGGAAGCGGTCCCGGAATCGCTATGCCACGGGGCCCGACATCAAACCCGTCGCCTGGCCCGACTTGGCTGCCATCTTCTCACTTTTGCTGGGGATCACCCGGTAGCACCAGCCGCAGAAGCTCCGCACCTGATGGCTGCGCTCCCTGTTCATGATCTTGCGTTTGGACTTCTCGTCTTCCCACTCAGGGACACAAGCACCCACCCGTACCATCCGGACGAGCTTCTTCTTCACCACCCCGCCGATGCCCTCGATCTCGTGTCGCTCATAGCCTGGCCCCAGCTGCAGTGGTGACGGCGTCCGTTGGCGCTCATGAGAGCTGACGCTGCTGCTGCTGTCCTGGCGGTGTAAGAACGATCCGGGTGTGCCAGGCGGAGTAATCGTTTCTAGCGAAGATTCGCGGGCATCTTCGGCATCGCAATCTGTCTCTTGCTCAACCTCCTTGGCTGCGACGCAGTCGCTTTCCCGACCGCATATGACGCCTCGATCGCCGTCTCCAATGCCCGTTCCAAGTCCGCCCAGGACTTCGCCGTAGTGACTACGCCATTTCCAGACACTGCGATGCATCAGCATGGAACATGAGAAAATTTCAGCTGTCGACTTACCAATTGTAGTCCGAATCAGAAGCGCGGATGCCTTTGCCACAGGGCTGGCACAGCCATACACCGGCATTCTCATCACACTGGCAGAGTTCTCGTTGAACTTCGTCCGCCTCCTGAGGTGTATCGGGGTCGACTGGTGGACCCAGTAAAGCCCCGATTGGCGCATCGACACACGATGTGCAGAGTCGCCTGTGACGCTCAGCGGCAGCAGCGGCACCAGGTCGCTTGATGGTGCAGTTCTGCCAGGATCGTCAGCGTGTTCCTCAGCTTAGCATGTATGTGCCACGTTCGGGAAGATCAAACGTACTCTGCAAACTGGGACGCCGCATAACCTGCACTCGCTCACCAAGTCGCGAGCACATTGACCGCTCTTGCCATTGTATGGAAGGTAAGAACCGGCACGCAGAGAACGGGGGTCTGTTTCGAAGTAGTGGTTGCCGGCTCTGGCACGGAAACGCAGAGTCGACTCAGGGTCGACCGGCTCTTCACTGTTGATGCAGCGTATCGTTGCCTTCAGTAAACTAGAGCGGTATTGAATCAAGCCCTCGTGTATGAGGTAGGAGGTGCGGGAAAGGCTATCGAGAGTGTTGAGGTCGATGTGCTGCACCACGGATTCGACGATGCTAAGGATGCCATGTCAGATTGAATCCGATAAGAAACTGATCAAAAGCACGCTGTGCATAGCGTGACGAAGTAGACTTACGGATATTGTCCAAAGGCTCGAGTAATGCAGTTTTGGAAGATCGACCTTGTACTCGGTTCATGCAGGTCGTCATCCATGATGAGTCTGGGCGCATTAGGTTTTGCGACCGAGACACGCCGGGGAGCAGGTGTCTGGAAGGTCAACTCGACGTTCTCGTCTTCGAGATCAACAATGACAACCATCTTGAGAGCAGCTTTTATAGTGTGGCTGGCAGTATCTTTTCAATCGTCGATATCGAGGTTGGGGCAGGTACACCTGGCGGTCAGACAAAGACGATAAATCGCCTGCTGCAGGGGCAAGTTGTGAATGTGCTCGGAAGTAACGGTTGAACAGAAGGAGGAAGAACAGAGGGTCTGAAGTCTCAATGGTGTATGGTCATTTCCCCAGGGCCCATTGAAGAGAGGAATGTGCAGAGACTCGAGTTCGCGAGACGAGTTTGAACGAAAGGGGTGGTTGACGCGATCGAGAAACCCGAGTGACCGACAGTTATGGGGGTAGGCGCGGGGTCAGAACGCGCGTTGAGATGCGGAAGATCGATGCAGAGAAAGAGGCAGGGACGCAAGGCACCTGATGATTGGTGAGGGGGAAAAGACTTTGTGCAGCATGCAGTCAAGCCGAGAACGTTGGGGATGTATGGGAAGTGACGAGTTGATAGGATCGGGAAGGAGGAACGGAATGTCACTTGTCCATTGAAGCTCACGCATGGAAGCACCCGTGACGATAGATAGCCCAGATGGTGACATAACTGTCGCGCACCTGCAAGCCACTGCTAAGGCTACTACAGGTTAGCTGCAGAGGCAGGCTCGACCCACAGACCCGCCCCCAAGCGCATGGCGAAGCTGGCAAGGCAGGTGACACTGGTAGCTCCTACTCCGGCGACGGCAGGCGGGGGGCTTGGGGAAGGTGGATCGCGTGGGCCTGTCCACATGCGGCCGAGCCGTCGCCGCATCTCGGAAACACCCTCGGAGACGTCGGGGCGGGGCCCAAAGGTCTACACCGCTGTCGCCAAAGATTTTCGAGCTGTCATCGCGGCCGTTTAGCGCATGCCATTGTTGGGGGTGGCTTGCTGACTATATGACTCGGCTGGGTCCCCGGAAATGAGCTCATGATTCGGAGCCCGACTTTCGGAGACTGGCGACGGCACGGCCAGCCCCATGCAGGTGACCGGCAGGGCTCCGCCCGAGTTTTTTGGGTGGCGGAGCTCCGAGCCCGGCTCGGAGCGGAGTTGCTCAACCGTTCCTGACCTGAAATTAAGGTTCATCTTGCAAGATGACGATCGTGCCGTCTTCTGTGAGGCTGGCAGCCTCGTGGGCGAGCTGCAAGCGTGTTGACTGAGAATGGGCAATGAATGTCATTCTAGCTTAACGTGCTGGCCGAGTGGCACTTATATCAGAATCCGCCATCTGGCTGGCTTCCGTGAGGACAGAATGACAGCCTCGAGGATCGCGTCACTTTTCGAGTACCACACAGAACCAATCAGAGGTGCGAAGACGTTTGACTTCCTGACAAATGTTCAGACCCTTAGATGTTCCGTACTATCTATCGTGCACGCTACACGGCACTGTTCATCCCGAAAGTGCAGTCGAGTAACGAAGTAATGAGTTTTAGCCGACGTGCGCGACGGAATGAACGGCCTAAGGCCCTTTACGTCTGGTTCGAGCACGGCGCCCTACAGTTGAGGGCACGGGGAGGGGAAGGCTACCGAACACGTACAGGACTCATGTTCGTGCATGTCATGCGCAGAATTGAGCTGGAGAGGTCGGCAGCCTGGCCAAGTCTGCTTCCAAACGGACCCCAGGAGATGGTTATTCTCAAGACTCTCGGGATCATTTACACAGAGAACCAAGTATTAGGTCGGTTGGTGCACGGGACAACCTGTGACTCGATGCGACATACTGAGTGTCAAGAGAGCCTAAGCCGCCCCCTTTTCAGATGATGCAGTGGAAAAGGGTGGGTTATAGGGTGGCCAGAAGCCGATTCGAAACCACTGGCAAGGCGAGTGGGGACCTCCTCACCAACAATGAACAGGACAAGGCTCGATGAATGCGTGGGCTTGGCTGGTGGTGGGTCACAACGACGACGATGTCGCTGTCTGGCGGGCTTGCAGGTTACCTACCTCACCGCGTCTCAGGGACATGAGCTCAGATGACATGCCTGCCAAGGTGGTATTGTGTGCATATTGCGATGAAAAGTACGATACTCAACGCCAAGTATGGAGCTGGAAGTAGAGCTGCTTCTCGCTGCCCATCACTTGTCGTCTGATAGTTTGCAGGATGATGGCTCCTGTAATCACAGGCCGGCACTGCCACACTCCACACTCTGGATTGGCCGATGTCAAAGAGTTGATGGGCACCAGGACTTTCTCGCGACCAGTCGATCATTATCATAGAACCCATGGTGATAACCATGACACGGCAATTGCATGCCTGCCCCGAAAATCAATTGAATACTTACTTGTCGATCAATAAGCGGAGGCGCCTCGAGGACTGGCCGGGACAGGGGCACAGCGGCTGTGACAGGTGAATAATCTCAAACAGAGGCGCTGGGATACCGTCGCGAGGGTGGCTTGGGTGGTTGTCGAGGTGAAGAGAGAGGGGGGTATTGGATGCGTTTCGCTGGTAACGAAGAGGAGGGGCCAAAGGTGGGTAGGGGAGGGTGACATGTAAGAGAAGGATTCTAGGCGCACTTGGCCCTGTGTGACGGAACGGTTTGTCGTCTGTAGTGGTTGCCGTCACCGTCACGTCTGACGCTGCGGAGGCCCCGAGAAGCGAGGCCCCATTGGCCCCCCAGGCTCAAACGTGAGGCTCCATCCCCAAACGCGTTATGTCAGCAGGACACAACCCTTGATTGGCGTAAATTCACCGGCGGTCCCGTGATGCCGATCTCATACCCTTGCGATAATCATGCTCCTCGTCGACCTGACCTCCTTGACGACTCCTCAACTCCACCATGGACCTGCTTCACGATGTGGCTGCTTGACCCACCTCACCTCAACCGCTCAACTTTGCCCAGCTCTCCTCTGTTTTGCATTCTGCAAACCTCTGCTGACGTGTTTGCTCACACAGAATTGCGACTGGATGGATCCCTGGCTATCCTCCCGTGCCCTCGTTCTGTCACAGCCCCCATGTTTCTCGCGCCTTTCTCCAGAAACGTCGAAGTGTCTTGACCTTTCTGCTCGTCGTCTGAGCCCTCTGCTCGTCGTCTGAGATCGCGTTGGACATGTTCTTCTTCTGCTCCTTCAACGCTGGAGCTCAATGGACTACGGATCCTCATGTGCTTTGCTTGACCTGGGCCGAGAGGCCACCACACTTGAAGTGCCCAGCAGCCCTGACAGTAACATTCTTGGCGTGCTCGACTGCTCTGACCTGATGTCTATCGGACCCGATCAACAAGGCTGGAGTTGCCATCCCAGGCGCCATCGATGGATGTGCGGCACATCATCCCAGTTTCCACCGTGGCGCAGCTTCGTCTGAAGAAACAGGACAGAACCAGGCTTGCCAGGACATGGGCAGAGACACGCTCAGCCTGGAGGATCCCAGCCTCTTACCATCCCTCTTTAGGTCCCACCATCCGTTCAGACGCTCTTTTCTGGGCAACATGGCCGCCGTCGGAACACGCGATTAAGCTTATGGTATCCCCCCTCCCCCTGGGACAAGTCTGGTTCGGCTTGCTCTCCACGGGATGTGTCTCATGATCGACCGCCCTGCAAAGCTTGGCGATGCATGAGCAAGTCCCGCACAGCAGACTGGTCAGGGGCTGAGCTATTTGGTCCAAAGTCATAGGATGAAGTGAGGCTCTTGACGTCTTGATCTTTTGCCTTATTTAGATGACAGCGCCTCGCCCTCTTTCATCACGACTCGTTGCAGCCTCAGCCTCACTGCTCTCTCTCTCTTTCTCGCTCTCTCTTCGCCATCCTTTCCGGGTGTTCTTTTTCCATTCTTTCCCTTCCCTACTGCATCTTGTCGTCTCTTCTCGGTGCCAGGACACCTCGCTCCTCCAGTGGAGCTT